GTCCAAGCCGCGCCATCCCAACCCGAAGTCCAAGGAGCGTCGGACCCTCCTCCGCGGGTTCCTGCCGCAGTCTCCGTGCAGGATTGGTCCAGCTCTGCCACTCGGCAGGACACCGCTGGGCGAGCTGGCGACCAAGTTCCAGCAGGACACCCAGAGGAGGGAGGGGGGAGCCTGATCTTTTTCTTTTGTTTGAAGTTGAACACCGTTCGGCCTCAGACACTTCCAGATTGCCCAGATTGCCCAGGAGGAGGAGGAGGAGGAGGGGGGGGGGGCGTCCACGGATGGGGGGCTCGCGAGTCATGGCACCCCGGCACGTGCGCAGGCAGGGGGGGCGCCGGGCAGGGCGGGGCCTAGAACTCCTCGCGCTGCGAAAGAGTCACGACGGGCGGTGCTTCGCCATCTTCGGCCTCCTGGGGCCCTCACCGAGCCCCAGGACCGCCAAAAAACGTCTCGGGATGCAACAAAAATCAAGACGGGAAGTTTTTCGCTATTTTCGGCCTCTGGGGGCCCTCACCGAGCCCCAGGACCGTCAAAAAACGGCTCGGGATGAAAAACTGGCCCCGGGGAAGGGGTCCAGACCTCTGGGGGTCGAGGCTGTGAAAAAATCACAGCGTCGGGGGTCTGGGGGGGACGCACTGAAAGAAGAACAGGGGGCCATGATGCCTGGGCCGGCACGGGAGCGGGAAGAGCGCCACAGGAATTTGCCCGAGATGGCTCGTGGCACCCTTCGCTCCTGGGAGCCTCGGCGTGAAGAGCCTGTTGCGTCACCGCTCCCTGTTGGGACCCCTGGTGTTCACAGACTTTTACGTTGCCGCTCGCTCGTGGGTGCCTTGCTGTTGAGAGCTTCTTACGTCAGCGCGCTCTGGGGAGCCTTGGTGTTCAGAGCTTGTTACGTCACCGCTCGCTGTTGTAGCGTTACTTGGCGTCTCTGGGGCTTCTTGGGAGTCTGTTGCCGGCCCTTTTGGGCCGTCTTGGGGTCAGCCCAGTCTCCACACCCAAGCAGCCCAGACACCACACCGCCTCTTCGGGCCCTCTTGGGAGCCTCTTGGGCCCTCTCGGGGCTCTCTTGGGGCCGTCTGTGGGCTCTCTTGGGCCGTCTTGGAGCCCTCTTGGGCCGTCTTGGGGCCAGCCCAGTCCCCACACCCAAGCAGCCCAGTCCCCACACCGCCTCTTCGGGCCCTCTTGGGAGCCTCTCCCGTCGTCGGGCCCTCTTGGGCCTTCTTGGGCCCTTCTGGGCCCGAAAAGGCGAGAACCCAGAAAGCCTGCAAAAAGTGCAGGACAATCTGTCCTGGACCCCTCTTGGGCCCCTCTTACGTAGGCAATCTTGGGCGCCTCTGGGGTCGTCTTGGGCGCTTCCGGGGCTGACTCGGGGGGGGCGGGGCAGTACACCCATGTTCCCCCCTTCGACCCTCCCCTGGACCCCTCCCTAGAGGGCTTCGCCCCACACAAGAACGTCATCACTCATGCCTCGCTCTTTCCGTTATCCGGGGAGACTGCATCGCCCTGGCTACGACAGAGAGCGTTGTTGTAGGCCCCCCGTCCACCCCATTCCCAGTAACTCCCGTTATCGCCCAGGAGAAAAAACTCTCATGGGCGGAGCCAGGACAAGGACAAGTTTGGACGGTGATACACTTCACAATCCTCTGGGAGGGGACCTGAGTGAGGAGGACCAGAACCATTAGGGATTAAAGAAGGTCTTTGTTGCAGATGTCCCAGACGAAACCACCCACACGTCAAGGGATGCCCCTCGAAACCGTGGACCAAAATTTTGCCACGAATTCGTTGTGCTAGTGCCAGGGGTTGTGTCATGCTCAACGGTCCTGGAGCCTGCTCGTCGCCACTGGCCAGCCTCGAGCTCATCCCTACAAGCCAAGAGGAGGAGGAGGAGGAGGAGGAGGAGGAGGAGGAGGAGGAGAAGGAGGATCCTCCTCCCTCTCCTCCTGCTCTTCCTCCTCCTCCTCCTATCCTCCTCCTCATCCTCCTTCTCCTCCTCCCTCTCCCGCCCTCCTCCTCCTCCTCCTCCTCATTCTACCCCTCTCCTCTTCTTTTTTCTACCTTGGGCTTCCTTTCTGTGGCTACGCCTCCCCTCCTCCTACCACCCCATGCTGCATCCCGCTCCCCTCCTCCTCCCCTCCTCCTCCTACTCCTCCTCTCCTCCTCCTCCTGCTCCTCCTCCTCCGCCGATTATCATCCTCCTCCTTCCTTCGCATTCCTTGCTCTCCCTCCTCCTCCTCCCTCCTCCTCCTCTCCTCCTCCTCCCCATCCTCCTCCTCCTTAACCTCCTCCCCTTCTCCTCCTCCTCCTCCTGCCTCACCCCCCTCCTCCTCCTCCTCCTTCCACCTCATCCTCCTCCTCCTATCATCCTACCTCCTCCTCCTCCTCCTCCTACTCCCCATCACATCATTCATCATCATCATCATCATCATCATCCCATCATCATTAATCAATCATCATCATCATCATCATATCAGCATCATCATCATCATCATCATATCATCATCACATCCATCATCATCATCACAATCATCATCATCATCATCATCACCTCATCATCATCAGCATCATCATCATAAGCACCATCATCATCATCATCATCACATCACCCCACCACCCACCACCACCACCATTCCATAATCATCATCATCAGACATCATCATCACAGCAGCAGCATCATATAATCATTCTCATATCATCATCAGCAGCAGCAGCAACACATCATCATCAACATCAAGCATCAGCATCATCATCAGCATCATCATCATCATCATCATCATAATCATCATCGTCATCATCATCCTTATCTTCATCATCACCATCATCTTCATCAGCATCATCATCGTCATCATCATCAGCAGCATCATCATCATCAGCATCATCATCATCATCATCATAATCGTCATCATCATTATGATTATCATTGTCATTAGTAGTATCATCATCATTATGATCATCATCATTATGATCATCATCACGATCATCATCATAATCACCATCATCATTATCATCATCCTGATCGTCATCATCATCAGCAGCATCATCATCGTCAGCATGATCATCATCATCAACCATCATCATCATCATCATCATCATCATCATCATCATCATCATCATCATCCTCATCCTCATCCTCATCCTCATCATCATCATCCCCATCCTCATCCTCATCCTCATCTTCATCATCATCCTCGTCCTGATCCTCATCGTCATACTCATCCTCATCCTCAGCATCATCCTCATCCTCATCCTCATCCTCCTCCTCATCATCATCATCATCATCATCATCCGCATCCTCATCATCGTCCTCATCATCATCACCATCATCATCATCACAGTCATCCTCCTCCTTCTCCTAATCCTCCCCCTCCTCTTCCTCCGACGGCTCTCCTGAGCCGTTTGAGGGGACCGGCGCTGGGGTCGAGTTCTTGTCTCTCTGTTACTCCCTTCGCACTGCTCTGCTTTGATGCCCCCTACTTGGGCTTGCTTCCCCGCGCACTGGAGCAAGCAACCCACTGATGTCTTCAGGCAGCCGAGCCGAGCCGAGCCGAAGGCCGAAGAGGAGGAGGAGGAGGAGGACCATGGGACATGTTGGTTAACAATCATGTTGAGAATCCGGTTTTGCATGCCGACCTAGCGCAGAACAGCTTGCAGCACACCACCGACCACACTTGCCCGATATGTCAGCAGCGCAGGCGCATCCAGCAAACACGGCACCTCGAACTGCAGGAATCAAGACACGAACCACTCGCCTTCCTACAACGGGCTTGGCCACGATCGCCGTCACCTGCAGTGCCGCTGGCGCGTCTGAGGATCAGAGTTCCAACAGGCGACGGGGGCGCAGAGCGCCGCACGACTGCCGCACCCGAGGGAGGGGGAGGGGGAGGGGGAGGTGTAGGGGGAGGAGGAGGGGGAGGGGGAAGGGGAGGGGGAGGACAAGCTAGGTGCGCGCGCGTCATATCTGACGTCCTACCCCACCCCCCATCCCTTACCATGGCGCTGATTTTCCTATCCGATGGAACTAGTGGGGTGGCGGTAGTGAGCCATGAGTAGACGTGCGTGCGGTTGTGCGTGGTTGTTTTGGTGTGGTGGTGGTGCTGATGCATGGTGGTGGTGGTGGTGTGTGGTGCTGGTGTTGTGCTGTGTGGTGCTTGTGTGGTGGTGGTGGTGCTGGTGGTTGGTGGTGGTGGTGGTGGTGGTGGTGGTGGTGGTGGTGGTGGGGTGGGGTGGTGGTTGTGCGTGTGTGCGTGTGTGCGCGTGTGCTGTGGCATGGCAAGGGAAATGACGCCAGCGCTGCAGCGGGAGCACGAGTCGAAACGGGCGGAAGCGCGGAAATGAGGCCAGCGCTGCAGCGGGAGCACGATTCGGAACGAGCGGAAGCACGGAAATGAGGCCAGCGCTGCAGCGGGAGCACGATTCGGAACGAGCGGGGCCCGAAAATTAAGCCGGCGCCTCGGCGAGAGCAGCATTTGGAAAAAAAACGCAAGCGAAAACCCGTTTCCCGGGAATCCTGTGTGTAAAAAACAATACGCGGGGGGGTGTCGGATATCTTCGGGACGCCATCAGGGGAAGTGGGAGAGTATTTTCATATTGTGTATAATTGTAAAAGGAGGAGGGGGAGGAGGAGGAGGAGGAGGAGGAGAGGAGGAGGAGGAGGGGAGGGGGGAGGGGGAGGGGGAGGGGGAGGAGGGGAGGGGGAGGGGGAGGGGGGAGGGGAGGAGGAGGGAGGAGGAGCGGAGGAGGAGAAGAAGGAGGATGAGGAGAGGAGTAGTGCGCGCGAGGAGAGTGAGGAGGAGGAGGGGAGGAGGCGAGGAGAGGAGGGAGGAGGAGGAGAGTGGGGATGGAGGAGGAGGAGGAGGAGGGAGGGGGAGAGGGAGCTGGGGGAGGAGGAGGAGGAGGAGGAGGAGGAGGAGGCGGAGGCGGAGGAGGAGGAGCAGGAGGAGGAGGCGGAGGCGGAGGCGGAGGCGGAGGAGGAGGAGGAGGAGGAGGAGCCCACGCCCCATCGCCTCCGTCGGCTGGGGCTCCTCGGGCTCGGGGATGAACATGACCCTCGAGGAGTTGCTGCCGCAGTACCTGTTGGCGCCCCGCATGCGGCTGCACACCACGCAAGGAGTGACCCTGGGCAAGAGTGCCCCGCGGTGTGCGCGGCCTTCGAGGGCCGCGGGCGGGGGGCAAGCCCGAGCGCACAGGACGCTGCCGTCGCATCGCGCTCAATCACCGAGGGAGGAGGAGGAGAAGAAGGAAGGAGGAAGAAGGAGGAGGAGGAGTAGGAGGAGGGAGGCCAAACCCGAGCGCACAGGACGCTGCTGAGCCTCTTTGAAAGAGAGCGCACATTCGCACGGTTGGGCTTCACAGCGGGGGGGACCAGAACAGGGCTCCCCGAGTGCCTTGGAGAGCTGTCCCAAATGCCAGTGATAATGACCACGCACCCGACCTACCCACGTGCCACCCCATCTTACCACACGGCGCCCCGAATTCACGGAAAGCAAAGGACAACAAGTGTGGAAACACGTCCTGCACGGCTCGGCCGTTGCTCGTGCGTGTCGTCAACCGATGTGCAGACCGCAACACGCGGCATGCTGACACGGAGCTCGACACGAGCTGGCGGCGCGCCAGGGGGCGGAGCGATAAGGTTAGGTTGGGCATGTCCCCCTGCTTTGGACGAGCAAATAAAAGTTGGCAAACAATGAATACCCCAAAAATGTCCAGGACAAACAGTCAAACGTCGTCCCCAGGCTATGTTTTGATTATTTTGGAGTTGTCCTCCTGCAGAGCGACAGGCCCGACTTGAGGATAAAGGGCGGGCCTTCTCAGAAGGCTCGGAAGCCCCCCTGGCCCCACGAGGAAGTTTCTGAGCCTCCCCGACGACGCAGAGCACGTCGCCGAGGGAGCGAGGGCTCTTGCACGGCCCCGCGGCCTTCTGAGAAGGTCTTCTCCTTCTCACGTCCTCCTCCTCCTCCTCCTCCACCACCTCCTCCTCCTCCTCCTCCTCCTCCTCCTCCTCCTCCTCCCCCCCTCGCTCGCCGCCGAACGTAGACTGAAAACGTAGGTCTGGGGCGATACGTTCGCAGCAGCGTGGACCACCACGTGCCAGGCCAGCACGCAAGGGGCTAACACGGTCGTTTCGAGCACGGCACGTGCTACGTTGGAACACGGGCGGATCGGGGCGGCCGAGCGCGGTACTCGTCCCAGTACTTCTTGCGGCTCTTGCACTTGGCCTCGTCGACCTTCCTGTCCTGGGAGATGTAACAGACAAATAGAACAACTGTCGGACGGCTTTCTCCGATGTGCGGACTCTGGGAGCCCTCGCTGGGCCCCAGGACCGTCAACAAGACGACTCGGGATGAGAAGCCAGTCCCAGGGAATTGGTCGAGGCCTCTGGGGGGTCCACGCGCTGTGAGAAAAGCACGACGCCGGGGGTCAGGGGGAGGAAGAACAGACTGCACGATGCAGAAACTTTCGGAGCTCCGCGCACATTCCTTGGATCGTCACTGGGCACCCTGTTTGTGTGTACAGTCCCTCTGTGGATGTAAAGAACGCTGAATAAGTAAGTGGCAACTCGTGGGAGCCCACAATACCATCTTGTCGGCTCTTGCGGATCGACGCTGATCGGCGCTAAATCTACGCCAATCGACGCTAACTCGACGCTAATCGACGCTGACCGACGCTCACTCGGCGCTATCTCATCGACTCCCAGACGCCAATCGACGCCAATCGACGCCAAAGATGGAATTGCGAGGGTATACCCGGCTCCCATTATTTGCTACCGAAGGAATATAAGGAACGAAAAGGCTCTTCTGGCCACGTCGGACCTCGGCCACGCAGAGGTTCCCCCACCCGGGTGTGGGGAGCGCCAGCAGGAAAACTGCAGTCCCTCCTGAGCCCCTCACAGTCAATCGATATCAACAAGGAGGCGCGGTGAGGGTGCCAAGGGCCTTGGAGGGCCCTGCTGGCGCTGCTCGAGCGAGGCTGGCGAGCGGACGTCGCCGAGGCTGGGCCGAAAGGGAAGGCTGCCCACCCTTGCTGTGCGGCTTGACTGTAGTGTCTTGACTCTGTGCCGTCTTCTCTGTCCCGATCCTAGAGGCCTCCTAGATGGGGTCGGAGCAGATGGGGTTGGAGGATCCCGCCGCATCGCCGATGCATCGGCGATGCATCGGCGATGCAGTGGCGATGCACCGGCGACGTCGGCGATGCACTCCACATCGAGCCGCATCGCCGATGCGTCGGCGATTCGGCGCGATCCTCCGACCCCATCTGCTTGGACTCCATCCAGGAGGCCTAGAGTAGAGGTCAAAAATCCACCCCCATAATGACCACCCCGACACGCGAAGTCGTTCAGCAAACGCGCCCAAAGAAGGAATCGAACAGGGCAAGGCTGTTTAGTGAACGCCCAGTGCCGTTTAGTAAACGCGAATTGTCCGGTCCGGGTGGTTTTTCCTCCCTTGATAGAGAGCTCCTCCGCCGAGATGTCGTGCCGCCACCCTTGCTGTGCGGGTTGACTGTAGTGCCCACCCTTGCTGTGCGGGTTGACTGTACAGTTGGGCTGCTGAAAGAAGGAACGCTAAATAAGGAACGAAGCCCCTCTGCGGCTTCAAAAAAGCCTGGGTGCACGAGAAGGGCTAGAGGAACAACCGCGGAAGGACGTAATGAACATCGAGCCCCTTCCGGATCCAGACTGTCCCTTATTTCAGCGACTTGGCTGCAGTGCCTTGACTGTGTGCCGTTGTTTCTGCCCCGGGCTCCTCCGCCGAGATGTCGTGCCGCCACAGGGTCGACTTCTTGTGGTGGGACGGGCAGCCCTCCGGCAGGCGCATGTAGCACCCCGGGAGCGTCGGCACGCCGTAGACCTCCGCCGTCCGGGCCTGGCGGGCCGCTGGGGCGGGCGCAGGGGGCGCAGAGGGGCCCCCTTCGCGGCGCAGGTGCGGCTTCTTGCCTCGGCCCTCTCTGCACAGGGAATACAGTCGGACTTCAGTGAACAGAACACGCGGGAGGACAGAAGACCCTTCCAGGGGCCACACTGCCACAGGAATGCAGAGGGCACGGGTCGCGAGGCACAGGACACAGAGGTACCCTTGATTTCGCAGGGTCGACCTACTAATCCAGGCCGACTGTAAGCGGGGGAGGGGGGGGGAGGCAAGCTAGGTGCGCTCGCGTCATATCTGACATCCTACCCCTCCCTCCCATCCCTTACCATGGCGCAGATCCCCTCTCTACTCGCACAGTCAGATGTCGAGCAGGGCAATGACCCCGAAAGAGTACGCGATGCATTGTAGAGCACGGCATGGCATGGCGTAGAAGAGCACCGCGAAGCGTAGTATCAACCTGGCATTGCATTGCATGCCGTGGCATGGCACGGGAAA